CAAGCTCCTCAACCTCTCAAACTATTTATTTATTCAACTCTAACATGAGGACAATACTATTGGTCTTGTACAGATACTGTAGTTTAAATGAGATTTGAGCTGCAGTGTCTGGTACATCATAGGCATTCAGTAAACAGCAGTTATTGTTTCTTTGTCTTTACTTGGCAGTGGATGAAGGAGTTTTTGTTTTGTTTTTATTGTCACTGTGTAATCCAGTAGTATCTGTGTGTATGCAAATAGTACCTGTGGCAGAATAGAATTTGCCTTAATAGTTAATGAGAAAGAAAAACTTAGAGTAGCCACAGACTGGCATAGGCAAATTGTGTGCAGTCACATACTTTCTATGGAAGGTCGTCCTGCAGAGATTGGTGGGGGTCCCTGACCCACACACCATGTCCTGGCCCTCTGTGTCCAGTGAGCCTCTTATTGCCTCCTATGGGGTTTCCCTGCACCCAGCCTCTCCTGCTTTGTTATTCATCTCCGACTCTGTTCTTTGGAACCATACTTCAAAGTATCCTCTGAAGAAAGTGGCCTCCGCTGGAGCCTCCTGGGGAGCCTCTCCGTGCTCCTTCACCGCTGTGCATGCCGTTCTCCCTGCTCTCCCCCTCCTGCCCCAGGCTGCACAATGGCACCATCTTACTCCACAACACACTTCGGTTGCTGCCTTCTTTCAGAAGTCTGTCCTTGTTCTCCTCACAGTTGTCTTCCTTGTGTTCCACACCTATGAGGTCCTCACTGCTACAGAAACCAATTGCGTTGTGACTGGTGCTTGTGTGAGTCCTTCAGACAGTCATCCCCTGGTTCTCTCAGTCTCAGCTTTTCTGGGACCTGAGTCTCACCTTTTTCAGGGTGTATGTGTACGGTGTAGAAAAAGATGTGTGACTATTCTTCAACCTTCTCTGATGAGGACTTGGGCCTCCCTGAGTAACATTCCATGGCTCCATCCCACAGCCTCTCCCCCATGCCACTTGGAGAAGTATCTTTAAGCAAAAATTCCCCAAAGAGATTTATTTCCATGTCCTCACTCACTACTCCATGGCGATGTACAACAACTGTTCACCTCAAAAATGGCAATTAAGTCACTCCTCAGCTGTCTCTTTTTAGGATATTTAATCCTGGTTCCCTTGACCACACTCACGAATGCAGTGTATCTGCCCCTTTGATCATTACTAGTGTGCTTTCGAAGTCCTTTCTGAGTGCTGCTACATCTTCCTCTTAAGTTGTGGAGGTGTTAAAGAGACCACATGTGGCAAATCTCAGTTCAGAAGTCAGCTTTTTGCCAGGACTCTCCTATGTATCTCTAGAAAGATAAGTGACAGAAGTTTTGTTGCAGAGCTGCAGGCACAGGTGTGTCCCTCTCTGGACAGAGAGGAAACCAGTGAAGAACATATTCCTCCCTGCCTCCAGGGAAAGTTGGTGTTTTATTTTCTGGTGAAATGTGTGAGACTGACTAATAAGACTAAGTTTTAAACTTATATGGAAAGCAAAAGTGCTCAATTGAAGACCTATTCTTTTCCCACCACTTTTTAAATTATATTAGTACTTATTCTCAGTATATCATGTTTAGTCATCTTGGGAGTGAGTACGAGTACATACACAACTATAGCTCTTTTAATTCCCTTCCTCTTCTCTCCCCCTCCCTCTCTCTCTTCCAATTCTCCTATCTCTATTTTCATCCTTGTTGATACTATTAACCGTAGCTTCTGTTATGGCCCATAATGTTTACATTAATTGAGGCTGTTAGGTTCCTATATGTGGCATATCTTTATTGTACTTACTTCCCCCTCCCATCTTCTTCACCCTTGCCCTTGTTCCCTTGGACCTCATCCTTATTCCAGGAGATCTATCCACTTGCCCCTTTCTATTCAACCTTCATTATTCTTTTTGTTTGTACTTTGCCTCACTCTAATAAAAGATACCATGTGGTATTTAAGCTTGTGTGTCGGGCTTATTTCATTCAACATTGTATTTTTCCAGGTGCATCCATTTTCTTACCAATATTTCAAATTTGTCATTCTTTTTTTTTTATCATTTCTTTATTTGGTACAGGGTCTAGCTATATAGCTTGGACTTGTAGTGATCCTCCTGTCTCAGCTTCCCCAGCGCTGAGATTACAGGCTATGCAGCACCACAACTGGTTTCCATGGTCTGCACAGCATACAGCACTGGGGATCGAACCTAGGTCCTTTTGTTTGCCAGACAGGCACTTAGACTACCAAGCTCTCTCCACAGCCTTCAAATGTGTCATTCTTTATTGTCAAGTAGTAGTCCATTTTGAAGGCCTATACTTGTTAGAAACAGATCACGTTGTCCGCCTTAGCATGCACATGCCTCCTGGGGAAACAGTTCCTCAGGTGGAAGGGTCTTATCTCCCTGTTCCTTACTCTGCCCAGCTGAGGGGGGCTCTGGTGTGTGCCCACCTTGCCTCCCCTGATTTAGGGCATGGGCCTGTTGTTCTCTTCTCTGACCTTCTTCAGTTGCGCTTCTTGTTAAGTGGTCAGTCAGCCCCACTTTCTTCTTTCTACAGATTATGCCAGGTCAGGGCATTTCCAAGCCCTTTCCCGAGTAAGTCAAGTCTGCTTGGCTCCACTGTACATGGGCACACATGTGTGCACACGTCCATGAGCACATACTTCCCAACACAGCTGGGGAGGCGGAGACTGGACACTTGCATTGATTGATGCTCCTAAGTGACAATGTAGGAAGGAAATATAGTAAGAAGGCCCAGTGACAGTGCCACATTTGGGGAATTGCTGTGATTCTGGGAACTAGGAGGACCTAGAGAGGTCACAGTCACCCCTCTGTCCTCTTGTGCCTCTACTTCTCCCGCATTTGGTCTGACAGAGGGACCTGATTGTTCCTCTGAATCTAAACCCCCTTTTCTACATAACTTTCTTTCTTTTCTTTTCTTTTCTTTTCTTTTCTTTTTTTTTTTGGAACTGGGGGTTGAATTCAGGCCTTTGTGCTTGCCAGGGAAGCACTTATTCTACTGAGCCATCTCCCTGGCCCCAAAATGGCAGAAGGATTTTTTTTTTGGGGGGGGGTGCTGGTTTAGAATGCCTTCAGGGCGGGTTTGGCTGGCTTGAGTTCTGGGGATCGAACCACAGCAACCCGAGCCTGACTGCTTTGTTTAAGCAGCCACTTAAATAACTGAGCTAAGGGGCAAGCCTCCTCTACATAACTTTCTTTCCTTCCATGTATTTTTTTCTGCTTTGAATAGTTGCCTCCTTATACAACTATTCAAATAGTTGCTTTTGTCCTGGCCAAGGAAGAAAAGGAACAAGAGAAGGAAGAGAAATTCAATTAGCCTCTCCCTTTATAGCCCCTTTCAAGCCAACACCTCCCTGCCTTCTTCCCCCAAGACTGCCTGTAATGCCCACTGGAGTGGGGCAGGCCACTGGGCCTTCCAGAGCAGGGGCACTGCAGATAGCACGATCTCCCCTTAGCTTCTTCCACAGTTCTGAAAGGAGGCAGGAAAGGGATATACATGCACAGTATACATTTACCCAGACATTTTAAAAAGATACAGTTTTTAAACATTTAACAACTTGGAACTCTCTTACTGGGAAAGGTGAATATTGTCTTAAAAAGTAATTTTTATTGCCATAACAGTAAAAGGTCTGTGTGTTCTTATATACTAGAAACTGTAGTGGGATTAGATCTCATGAGGAGACAATAAGATTGAAGTAATTAAGTAGCTCACGGATGCAAACTGTGATGGATGTGGTGATGAGGAAGACACTGAGCAAGGTGGATGATGTTCCATACAAGGAAGAAGCCTGGTTTTGGCCTATGAGGAGTCCAGGAGGGCTTCTCTGTACGGGGAGTATGAGGACAGCAGGAGGTAACTAGAAGGGTGTAAAGGGAATGTTTTTGCATTAAACTATATTAGCCAAGGAAGACGAGAAGATACAACCTAAGGTTTGTTGACCCTAATATATGGAATAATTCATCATTTTAAGGAGTAGGTAACCCATTAGAATAGGAGAGCAAAATAGTTTCAGCTAATGTATCAAGCAGTCACAATATAGTACGTTGTATCAGGAAGATTGGTGTAGGCTTGCTTCAGTACAGATGGTGGAAGAAGCCATACTCTTTCCTTGCATCTGAGCTTCTCTGTGGTCTGATAGTGATGTGCTTTCTTTTTGCATATTACAGGCAATCATTAAAGTTCACATTTCACATTCCTGCATTAAATACTGTAATACTTAGGTGCCACTTAGCTCCACCATTGTCCAGGAAGCAGCTGTGCTGATGTGATAATGTCATAGTCTCATTAAATTGGCTTTCCCAACCAAAAGTTCCTTTCAGAGCCCTACAAGCCCTGTTCCTGAGATTCTTTGATCTCAGTGTACAAATACTGCTTTTGATAAAAAGAAGGTCTGTTCATCTGACAGGGTCCTTCTATCACTTTATTTTATGTTATTTTAATATTTATTTGGTATAGGGTCTCACTACACAGCTCAGACTTATAGTGATCCTCCTGTCTCACCCTCCCCAGTGCTGGGATTACAGGCATGCACTATCATGCTGGTTTTGGTGGCCAGCATGGTGTGCCCAGGATTCCAGGGCTGGCATGGCATGCAGTACCAGGAATCGAACCCAGGTCCTTGTGCTTGCCAGGTAGGCGCTTAGACCGCTGAGCTATCTCCCTAGCCCCTGTTTTATTTTATATGGTCTTATTTTATTGTATTTTTGAGTCAGGGTCTCATTGTGTAGTTCAGGTTAGCCTTGAGCTCACTTTGTAGCCCAGGCTGGTCTCACACTCACAATGATCCTGCTGCCTCAGCTGCTGCCAAGTGTTGGGATTACAGATGTGCCCCACCATACCTGGCTCTTTCCATCACTTTAATCCAGAGAACATTGATCCTGCTCCAAACCACTGCTCCTTCTCTGGATGGCTGATGCTGTGTTGTTCCCCAGTAGTGAGAGAAACGTATTCTATGCAGCAAGCACTTTACCTTTCTAATCCTTTGCTTTTTGTGTTTTTATTTCTAAAGGCTTGAATTGTCTGTTGAAAACATCTTGCAAGACTGGCTTGAGAGCTCTGGAATACCAAAGGTACACTCAAGATGCCTGCTCAGGAGAGTCTGTGGTGGAGAGTTGAGCTTTCTGTTTAGCCTGTCAATTGTGGCAGGAACTTTTGGATCCATGCCTGTATGGAAAAACAGTGATTTTACTGAGCTAGACCTTAGAAGTCATGAAGATGCCAGGTTCCCCACCCTGTTTCAGCCTGTCTGTCATGGGGTGAACCTGTGGCCCCAGTTTGAAGTGACTCTGGTACATGGGTAAACACGTGTGTTCAATGAGGTCTTAAAGCAGTGTTTGTGTTTTGGCTGGAGTCACCAGGCAACAGCTCAGTGTCCCATGTTTGAGCAGCTGGCCTCCAGCTCTGCTCTTTGCATGTATCCAAACAAACAGGTGATCTGGTTTGCTGAGCTTTTGTCTGACCCCTGGTTCAGTGGCTTCTGCCCTTTCTTTCCCCAGGTACCTCTTACCTTTCTTCTCGGAGGTTTCAGGCTGGCCTCCCTTTCTAGATGACCTAGTTAGAACCATTCCTCTGTCTTAGGGTCTTGCACTCCCTCCTAAACATTTTGTTTTTTTCTTTTCTTTCTACCTATGGTAGCTCTGAGTTAAAAACCATCTCCTGGCAGCCCTGGGAGAAACACCTGACCCAGAGCCGCTTCTCCCCTGCTGCTTAACCCAGATTCTGCTTTTCTCAGAGCCTCCTGGGCATCTCAGACCCCTCAGCCTCCCTAACCTTTGCCTAGGACCTGCGAAGCTCAAGGGTGGCTTCCAGGGCAGCTGCAGACCAGGCCTGCCCACCATAGTGGGCCTCCATGGCTGAGAGAAGCTCTTCCCAGAGCTCAGCCAGCAGCCCCTGAGCCTGCTCGTTTCTGGTTTCATGACTGGTTACATGAGCTTCCCCTTGGGAGTGTCTGAGTGTCAGTGAATGTCTGTGACCCGTGAAATGAAGGAACAGCAGGGCTGTTCTTCTTTACCTTTTCACCCCTCTGCTCATATCTTTGTCCTTTCCTACCACTTGGGAAAATGTCTGCTTCAAGCTACCATTAGCTCATTCTAAAAGGATACTTTACTGACCATTCAGAAATGCACGTTACTTAGAATATGTGATTTCATTGGCTTAATCCTTATGGGAGGAAAAAAAAAAGTCTTAAAGCTAAACCAAACCTGGGCAGCACCTCCCTTGCAAGGTAGTTCTGTGAACTCATACATATGAGACCCGGCAGTTTCTAGGAAGATGACTTCCAAACCAGACCACTCACCAACTAGCAAAGTCCAGGGAGAGCAAGTTAAGGTCTGTCTCGTCATTAACAGCCAAGCCCTACTCTTGTATTTTCCTCTGGGATGGGGGTGTGGGTGCTTCTCAGAAGCCCTTTGCATCATGTCCCTAAGCCGGGTCGTTAGGAGGCTCCCAGACATTCTTGGTGTGGCCTGGGAGCTAGAAAGAGGAGGGAATACAGAGAGCTAGCTCCCATATTTCCTAGCTTTTGGGAAAAAGAATGTTCTCTGAGCAGTTAGATCAGAGTGAAGGTCAAAAGAAGAGTCCTTAACTGTGTGCCTTGTGTTCACTTCGGCAGCACATATACTTAACTGTGTGCCTAGAAGCAGGTGAACCAGCTGGAGTTGTGGGGGTGGGGCTGGGGCTGACCCTCTCTTTCTATGAGCATGCTCTGTCAGACTAAGGGGAGAAGTTTTTGCCCCCAGCAAAGGCTTTTGATTTTCCCCTTTTCTGAAAGGGGCAACGGTGTATGGAAGGGAGAGATTTGCCTTTGAGCTGTACATTTTCTCCCAAAAGTCTAGTTACATTAGTGATAGCTTATGGTGTAGACAAGACACTACTATAAACTGACAAAACCTGCTGTCAAACAGCCAGGTGCAATGAGCCTAAGCGGCTATAAATTTTCTTTAAGACCCAACTGGTATTTCCCTGGGTGCCTAACTGTTCAGTAAAAACAACTGCATCAGACAGAAAAGACCTTGATTTAGTGTACACCATGCATTGGTGAATAATCACACAGCATCTTTTCATTTCTTCTGTTTTTTGCCACTATTTAAATGGCTGCTGGTGATTTACCTGCTCTTAGCCTCTTTCACACTCCTTGGAAGTTTCTTTTCTTTTGCACTCTGGTCAAAGGCTCGGCAAAGTCCTGAGACCCTCTCATTGCAGGAGCCTCACAGTGAATGGAACACCTTGTTCTTTGTCCCCATCATTATGATATAAGGTTACAAACCTGCCTGCCCTAGAATGACAACCAAGTGCTGAAATCGCTCTCATAGTCTTTGTTCTCCTTCAGAATTTCTGTCCACCAGCAATTGAAGTCATTCATAACAAAAGAGTCACGTTCTAGTGGTGAAGTTTTCATTCCACAGGTTACAGAGGCTTTTTGTCTTCCTTCAGGAAGGCTTGCCTCGTGGTTGGCCTTGATTTTCCTTTTTGGCTATGTTGAATGGAAATCATTTAAAAAAAAAAAAAACAAAAAGTGGAAAAAGCTTCAGCATCAACAGAAGTAAGCACGAACTCCACAAGAGCAAAAGAAATTGGATCCAACCTTTTTAAAGAACACCTCTCCCCATAATTTTGGCCTTACAAAGAGATTTAAAATTGGTCGGGCCAGGGAGATGGCTCAGTGGAATAAGCGTTTCCCTGGTTCTGAAAAAAAAAAAAAAAAAAAAATGGTTGTACATTTGTAATTATATATTATTTCCTTTCATGATATTTTCCTTATTATGGAAATATTACAGAGTTACTTTAAAATATAAAAAGCCTTGTAAATAAGAAAATAAATATGACCCAGAAAGTTTTTTGATACACATCCTTTCAGTCATTATTCTGATTGCCTAAATACATATTGCAACCTTTTCTTTCTCTGCCTTTTTAGAAGTAAAAATAATATGTCTTCTGCAGCAAGTTCAAATAATAGCAAAATATAAAACATGAAAGCTCTTGCCCCGTTCAGCTTCCCTCCCCAGGGGTGACCCAGCAGATAACAGCTTGGTGTGAGTCCTCCCACACGTTTTCTGTCCAGTACAGCAAGTAGCTGCATATCCTCTTTAAAGGTGGAATTTTATCAACCAAACTTGGTTTTATTTAAAAATGTATTATGAGCAATTTCCTATATCCCTTAGGATACTTCAAGAGCAAACATTTTTAACAGCTGTATCACTTCCTAATGAATAATACCTACCATAAGTGAATTTTTTCGTCTTCTGGCTTCTATAGTTGGAGTAGCACACAGTCATCCCTTGATATTCACAGGGGTTGGGCCCAGAACCTTCTGTGGACACCAGAATCTCCAGGTGATCAAGTTCCTCCTATAAAGTAGTATAGTATTTGCATCTTACCTATGTATAGGCTCCCATGTACTTTAACTTTCTACATTACTTATAATACCTAGTATACTGTAAATGCTATATAAGTGGTTATTACATGTACTGTGTGGGGAATAATGACAAGAAAAAGATATGTACATGTTCAGTAAAGATTTAGTTATTTTTAAAAATATTTTTGATCTACAGTTAGTTGCAACAGTGGATACAGAAAACCAGTTGCACAGTATTTTTAAGAAAGTTGTCATTCTGCTAATTTGTCAGCTCTATAATTATATTTTTTACTTCTTTTCCTGTCTATCCAAAGTCCCCACCCCATATGCACATATATTTCAATCTTTTAACACATTTCTATGCAAATACATTAGAGACAACTTTTTTTCTCTCTATCCTTTGTTTAGGACTTCTTATTTGGATTGCTATAGCACTGAGTCTTCCTAGCTTTTTTTTAATTCTTCCCCAAATTGGCACATACAAGGATCCTCATGTACATATTTAATCAAATTTCTGACTTTATTTCCTTTCCAAGCAACTCCCCCATTTTGTGGGGTTTTGTTTTGTTTTGTTTCCACTACATTTTGCTTAGACTAGCTAGTGGCTAAATGGTCTGTTAGCTACAAAACTCTTTCCCTTTCTGTCCATCATTCACATCAATAACAATGTCAAGTGAATCTTTCTAATACACCCTCAGATTCATTCTCACTGGCAATGTTTTTAGGTTTCTAAGTGCATTATAAATGCACTTAGAATACTCTTTGGTCTGCTAATTGATGCTATCAGCAGTATCGCCTATAGCTACTTTTAAAAAATTTTATTTCCCTCTATTCCATGGTCATATTGTGCCTTAACTACTGTTTGTGAGCTACACTACCAGTCTTCCTTTTTCTTTTTTCTTTTTAGAGTGCTTCTCTCTCCCTCTCTCCCTCTCTCCCTCTCTCCCTCTCTCCCTCTC